TTTTTTTTTTTTTTCCAATAAGGTACCATACGGATATTTTTTTCATTTTTTTAATTATATTCGAAGCAATTTTAGCATTACGATTTTTTTTTTATTTTAAGTTTTTTTAGCATGAGACCAGGTTCAAATCAATAGTTAAAAAAAAAAAAAAAACAAAACAAAACAAAACAAACAGATTCAAAAGCAAAAATTCAACCCAAAAAAAAAAAATCACCATCCCTGCCATGCTCAAGCTCGCCTCCATAATGTTGTTGCAGAAAAAAAAAAAAAAAAAAAAAAAAAAAAAAAAGTTCAACCGGATCTTTTTGACCAAGAATGAAAAGCCATACAATCAACAACTACCCTTGATTCCTCTCAAGCAAATCCCCAACAAACATCATCGTTTTCCCTCTCTGTTTCAACAAAAACTTAAACCCATCAAACATACAATATTCAAAACACAATAACCATATTCATGGGTCAGCACCAAATCAAATTCAATATGTGTAACCATGTGACTCTCATTTTCCTTGAAAAGACCAAAATGCCTTTCCCTCAAGCCATTGACGAAAATTCAGGTAAAGAACCTCTATGTCTGTCACAAAACTATCCTTGTCACGCCCCCAAACAGGTGTTAGTGACGTGAAGGTTTGTTTAGAAACTTAAACTTGTTTAAAAAAATAATTAACCAAATAACAGTGAAAAAATTGATTTCAAATCCCAAATACTCAAGTATTCCCAAACAAGCCCTGCTATTTTAAGGAAATTGAGTTTTTAACAAAAAGTGAGGCAGACTTTACAAAACGCAATCACTGTCAAGATCAACATTCAAAGTCAGCCTCCCGCGTCCACAGGGGTATAATTTGTGCATACATAAATAAATACAGAAAAATAAGTAACTAACATCAACTAACAGTCTAGTTATGTTTAAGCTCTTACAATCCATAGTTAATACATGCCCTAATGAATCTGATAAAGATAGAGAATACTTCACCGCTTCCTTTCTTCCAGAACGGGATTCCTCACCTATTCCGCGCTACTTCTAGCGTCACCTGGGTGGGGTTAAATACATTCGAAAAACAGAGAAAAAAAATGAGTGAAAAGCCCATTAGGATAATATTTATAAAACTAAATAAATAAATAAGTGAATAAAATGAGAGAGTCAGGCCTGAAATAATCAATCAGAATCAAACAACCTTTTTCTCAAAGGTAAACAAACTGAAATTTCATATTTCAGGCAACCAGCAAGTAATTTAAGTAATTAAATTACTTACGACCAAAGCAAGGCCTTATCACCACCGTAGTGGCCCGTCCAGGTTTCGGGTTCTGCCCCCAAGGATACGATCTCCATATCCTATCTAGGCCATCAGCGGGCTTACCTATTTCTAAGATCTATTGTCTTAAGAAATCATTCATTATAGTTTCTGAAATAGTTCATTATAATTACAATAGCTAAAATTAAGCTATGGTGTCAAAAGGTTTTTCTTTCGCAAATATGCCTTTTCTTTAAAACATTTGTAAGGCCAAAACTCTTTGAAAACAGGCTAACAAAGAAAGGGATCAGGAATATCCTATCTCTCGGATGTCAAAGCTGTAGCTAACTTCTCGTCACCCTAACTTTTGCTTTCCTTAAAGCTTTAATACTCGATCTTCCCACTAGCTTTATGACAAAAGCAGTGTCTTAGGATATATTTCTCATTTCTAAAATGAATTGAGCTCAATCATGTTTAATTGTTTCCTATTAGTGTGCCTTGACACAAATCCAAGTTTCACAAACGATTTTATAATTCAGTTTAGGGGTTCTTTAAAAATTGAAATTCAATTCATGGGTTTGGTTTCCTATTTAATTTCAGTTTAAAAACAAGTTTTTAAAGAAATTTCGGCAGCATGCCAGCATAAATAGGAAAAATGTCAAACCTGCAATTCAAGTTCAATTTCAAAATAAATTATCCAGAATCCATCAAAACCAGTTTCCAATCAATTAAACAAGTCCAATAATTGAAAACCTCCAAATTTCATTCAATTCTAATAAAATTGTTCAAATTCAAATCCTAACTCAAAATTATTCAAATCTAATCAAAATTAAACTTTCTTAAGCTTAAAATTTAAATCAAAGAGTGAGTTTCAAGGGTTTTACCTCAAATTAATTGATGGAGCTTCGTTTCCCTCGGTTTCTCCCGTTTTCATTTTTTTTGTTTTTTTTTTTTTGTGTCTCAGCCAAACTGCTAAGAGAGAGAGAGAGAGAAACCTAAAGAGAGCAAGGGATAGAGAGAAAGGCCGGCGGGAAAGAGAGAGTGAGAGCCCGGAGGATGGCCGACAGTGGAAGAAAAGGGAGAGAGAGAGAGGGGCTGGCAGTGGGCGTGGAACCAGAGTGGAAAGAAGAAAAGAAAAGGAAGAAAGAAGGAAGGAGAGAGAGAGGGGGGTTAGGCTGCACGAGAGGGAAAAGGAAGGAAAAAAAAGAAAAGAAGAAAAAAAAAAGAAAAAGGAAAAAGAAAAGAAAAGGAAAAAAAAGGAAAAAGGGAAAAAAAAGGAAAAAGTGAAAAAAGAAAAATGCAATAAAAGTTGAGTGTATTTCAAAAAATTTTGGGGTGAAATCATAAATACTGAAATTAATTTAAAGTCTCTTGATTAATTGTGAAAATTTAATGAGGCACACTAATAACTCACAATTTAGCATAATTAAAAATGTTTAATTCTGGAAGGCGTTACAGCTCTAGCCCCTTAAGAAATTTCATCCTCGAAATGGGAACTTACCTCAGGATATGAATTGATGTGGATATCGTTCTTGCATCATCGTTTCCAATTCCCACGTTGCTTCCTCAATGCCATGATGTTGCCACAACACCTTCACTAACGGTATCTCGCGTTGACGTAGGCTTTTCATTTTCCGGTCAAGAATTTGTATTGGCGCTTCCTCGTACGTCGTGTCATGCTGGATCGGCACATCATACCATTGCACGGTGGCTTTTGGATCATCAGGATCGGCGTGCTAGTCAGCTTAGTCTTCAGTTCTTAGAATGTGTGTTCACAGTCAGCATCCCATTTAAATCCGACTTCCTTTTTAGTCAACTGAGTCATCGGGGCAACAATACTCAAGAAGTTCTTCACAAATCACCGTTAATATCCCGCAAGTCCTAGGAAACTTCGAATTTCAATTACATTCTTCGGACGTTCCCATTGCAGCACTGTTTCAATCTTTGAAGGATCCGATGAGATTCCTTGTCCAGATATGACATGTCCAAGGAACCTGACTTTTGTCAACCAGAAATCACATTTTTCCTTTTTCGCGTGAAGCTGGTGTTCTCGAAGAGTCTGGAGAACAATCCTCAAATGTTGCTCATGCTCTTCCCAAGTCTTCGAGTAAATCAGAATGTCATCAATGAAAACTATCACAAACTGGTCTAAATACAGGCGGAAGACTCTATTCATCAAGTCCATGAAAGCGGCGGGAGCATTCTTCAATCCAAAAGGCATTACTAGGAACTCAAAATGCCCATAGCGAGTTCTGAAAGCTGTTTTTAGAATATCCTATTCCCTAATCTTCAACTGATGAAACCCGGATCTCAAGTCGATCTTAGAGTAATACCGTGATCCCCCTAACTGATCGAACAACTCATCAATCCTCGGTAATGGGTACTTATTCTTCACGGTAACCCTATTCAATTATCGGTAGTCGATACACAACCGGAGGCATCCGTCGTTCTTTTTCACGAACAAGACAAGCGCACCCCACGGGGAAGTGTTGTTCCTAATGAATCCCTTTTATACTAACTCACCGAGTTGTCTCCTTCATTCTTTCATCTCTGCGGGCGCCATTCGGTACGGAGCGAAAGAAATCGGCGCCGTCCTCAGAAGTAAATCAATATAAAACTCGATTTCTCGGTCGGGTGGTAAACCAGGTAACTCATTAAGAAATACATCCGCGTACTCATCGACCACGGGGACCTCAACATTCTCCCCGGCGATGTCGGATTCATCCTCTAACGCGAAAAGAAATGATAGACAAACTAAATTTCACCGTCCTCTGACACTATGCTTCAGTAGTCGTTCTTCCATAATCGTGTTGACACCCCCCTGATATGTTATTATCGTGCCAGAACCAGTAGTCAAGGTAACTCTCATACGGTGGCAATCAACAATCGCCGTGTATCTTGACAACTAGTCCATTCCAAGCACTGCATCAAATAAGTTCATAGGAAGGTCAATCAAGTCTGCCCTCAATTTCTCACTTTCAATTGTGATCACACACGACCTACATATGCTATTCACTTTCACACATCCCAGTGGAGAGTTCATGAACATTAGGACTCTAGATCCTTAGGTTTCAAACCCAAAATTTTCACAAAAGCAATGGAAATAAGAGAATGCGTGGCACCAGTGTCGAATAAGACTTGTGCAAAAGAGTGTGAGATAAGTACCATACCCTCAACAACTGGGTTTCTGACCTCAGCTCTAGAATTTCCCCTGGCCATGGTATGGATCTGTCCTTATGCTTTCCCTTTTCCTCTCTCGTTGTTATGGGGTCTCTGATTTCCTGGCCTGTATTGTTGCTATGGTGGAGTGGATTGTACTGACCCTGAAGCCTATGGCCAAAAATAGGTGTAGTTCAGCAGACGGATGATCGGTACAGGAGGAGTTGGCATCTGGGCAGGCAACTGGGGCTGATAAAAATGTATGAACTGTGGTAGTCTCTCTTGATTAGGAACAACACCCCGTTGATTCTACTGAGGTTGTTGACACTGTTGACTCACATGTTGGCTCCTTTGAGGACAGTTCCTTCTTATATGCCCTAGCTCCCCACACTGGTGGCACTTGAAACTGTAGGGTCCACTCTTCCCACTTCCCGAAAAGCTACTACTACCGCTAGGTATTTCCCCGCTACATTGCCCTTGATCACGGCTTTTTCTGTTATTTCTCTGGGGTCCTCCTGAAGTTCTTCTTGAAGTTTCCTTGCTCTTGAGGAAAACAAGGTGCTCATGTTCAACACAGATGACCGCTGCAACTAAGTCACTGTAGACTCGATGTCTTAGAGCCACCACTGACTTCCGGATGATACCCTTAAGACCTCTTTCGAACTTAAGGCACTTCATGTGCTCATACTCAATCAGGGAAGGAGGAAAGCGAGATAACTCATTAAACTTGGCTTCATATTCCCTTATTAACATGTCCCCCTACTGTAGGTCCATAAATTCCATGGCCTTCTCATCTCAATAGCTTTGAGGAAAAAACTGTTCATTAAAAAGCGCTTTGAATTGTTCCCAAGGCATCCCGCTGAATTTGCTTCCACCAAGCACCAGCCGGACCTTCAAACTTAAATGCTGTGAATTTCACCCAGTATTCCTCCGGTACTTCTATGGTACTCAGATATTTGGACACCGATTCAAACCAGTATCTGGCTTCCTGGGGTCCACCCACACTAGTAAAGGCGGGAATAGAGTTACGCCAAAACTCACGAAAGTAGCTCTGTTTCATGTCCTCCACAGGACGTTCATTTTGAGCTCTGGTAGCCATTCCTTGGAAGGTTGGGTACATGGCTTCCATAAATTGCTCGTTCGGCATTGCCGGCGGGTTAGCGTTCCTACGGCGCAACGGCATTCTCTTAATTGAAAAAGAAAACTAGACTATTTAGTGGTTTCCTAATGTCATTAATGTATGCACAAATCCCCAAGGATTTTTAAAACCATTTACTCTGATACCAAGCTTGTCACGCCCCTAAACAGGGGTTAGTGATGCGGAGGCTTGTTTAGAAACTTAAACTTGTTTAAGAAAGTAATTAACCAAATAACAGTACAAAATTTGATTTCAAATCCCAAATACTTAGGTATTCCCAAACAAGCCCCGCTATTTTAAGGAAATCGAGTTTTTAACAAAAAGTGAGGTGGACTTTACAAAACGTAATCACTGTCAAGATCAACATTCAAAGTTAGCCTCCGGCGTCCACAGGGTTATAATTTGTGCATACATAAATAAATATAGAAAAGTAAGTAACTAACATCAACCAACAATCTAGTTATGTTTAAGGTCTTACAATCCATAGTTAATACATGTCTTGATGAATCTGATAAAGATAGAGAATACTTCACTGCTTCCTTTCTTCCAGAACGGGATTCCTCACCTATTCTGCGCTACTTCTAGCGTCGCCTAGGTAGGGTTAAATACATTTGAAACACAGAGAAAAAAAAAAGAGCGAAAGGCCCAGTAAGATAAGATTTATAAAATTGAATAAATAAATAAGTGAATAAAATGAGAGAGTCAGACCCGAAATAATCAATCGGAACCAAACAACCTTTTTCTGAAAGGTAAACAAATTGAAATTCCATATTTCAGGCAATCGGCAAGTAATTTAAGTAATTAAATTACTTTCGACCAAAGCAAGGCCTTATCACTACCGTAGTGGCCCGTCCGGGTTTCGGGTTCTGCCCCCAAGGATACGATCTCCATATCCGATCTAGACCATCAGCGGGCTTACCAATTAACAAGATCTCTTGTCTTAAGAAATCAGTCATTAAACTTTCTGAAATAGTTCATTATAATTCCAATAGCTAAAATCAAGCTATGGTGTCAAAAGATTTTTCTTTCACAAACATGCCCTTTCTTTAAAACATTTGCAAGGTCAAAACTCTTTGAAAACAGGCTAACAAAGAAAGGGATCAGGAATATCCTACCTCTCGGATGTCAAACCTGTAGCTAACTTCTCGTCACCTTGACCTCTGCTTTCCTTAAAGCTTTAATACTTGATGATCTTTTCCACTAGCTTTATGACAAAATACAGTGTCTTAGGATATTTTTCTCATTCTTAAAACTTATTGAGCTCAATCATGTTTAATTGTTTCCTATTAGTGTGTGTGTCTTGACTCAAATCCAAGTTTCACAAACGATTTTATAATTCAGTTTAGGGGTTCTTTAAAAATTAAAATCCAATTCATGGGTTTGGTTTCCTATTTAATTTCAATTTAAAAACAAGTTTTTAAAGAAATTTTGACAGCATGCCGGCATAAATAGGAAAAATGCCAAACCTGCAATTCAAGTTTAATTTCAAAATAAATTATCCAGAATCCATCAAAACTAACTTCCAATCAATTCAACAAGTCCAATAATTGAAAACCCCTAAATTTCATTCAATTCTAATAACAATTGTTCAAATTCAAACCTTAACTCAAAATTATTCAAATCTAACCAAAATTAAACTTTCTCAAGCTAAAAATTTA